CATCGTATCATCCGAAAATGAATGGGGCAGTGGAGGCTGCGAATAAGAATATCAAAAAAAATTTAGAGAAAATGATTGAAACTTACAAAGATTGACATGAAAAGTTACCTTTTGCTTTGTATGCTTATAGAACATCAGTTCGAACATCTACTAAAGCCACATCGTTTTCTTTGGTATATGGAATGGAAGTTGTGCTATTGATCGAAATGAAAATTCTCTCACTGAGAGTCCTGATGGAGGTAGAGTTAGAGGAAGCAGAATGGGTTCAGAATCATTACGAGCAGTTAAACCTCATTGAAGAAAAAAGACTGTCAGCACTTTGTCATGGCCAATTATATCAAAAGAGGATGATGAGAGCGCATGACAAGAAAATTCATCCACGTTACTTTAGGGAAAGAGACTTAGTACTAAAAAGAATCCTTCCAAATCAATATGATAATTGAAGAAAATGGACACCAAATTGGGAAGGCCCGTATGTGGTGAAAAAAATCTTTTCTAATGGGGCATTAATTTTGACAGAAATGGACGGAGGTGATTTGCCTACTCTAATAAATTTAGATGTTGTAAAGAAATATTTTACCTAAAAACAAAGAGAAAAAATGATGACTTTTCTAAGCTGAAAACCTGAAAAGACGGCTTGAATATGAAAGAGAAGCATTATCAAGAAAAGATTCTATAATGCATGGGCAAGTATAGTTTGACGAACTCTAAATGATCAAAGAAGTCATCTGATTTAGTTTTAGAAAAAGAATTTGAGAATATTTTGTTCATGATTATCTTATGATCATTCTTTGGACACCTTTGTTTCAACTCAAACACTTCGCCATCTAATGAAATATGCTATCTTTTCTTTGAAGACAATGTATGTCCATTATTTTATTCTTATTTGATATTTTTATTCATTGTACAAATAGGTGAAATGTGTGATTGCATATTGTTTGTCTTGAACTTAAAATGATGAAAAGAAAAATAAACATGAAAGATCTCAGCATTACTGTTTAAAGTTGACAAAGACAAATGAAAAAAGATGAGAAAAGCATGATAAGACATTGATGTTACAGACTTTAGAAGAAGAAAAATGAAGAATAAAATGGTTAAAAATTAAGAACAGATTGGTTATATAGCAATTGTTGAGAATTTAGATAAAAAAAGCAAAAAGTGAGAGATTTCGAGAACCTTTTTACTACAATGCATAATTTTGATTGCATTACATGCATTACATTTAGAGCACTCAGTACATGCATCCATGAGAAGTTGTAATAAAGATAGAAATTTTCTATTTCTTAATGAAAAACAAGATTTTGGTAAAGACAATGATCAAACAAAAGAATTCAAAAGAGAAAAATTTACTTGTTCAAAGATGAAAACTCAAATTTAAAAACAGATAAAAATTTTAAAGTTGTTGAGCCTCTGCTGAGAGGAGCTCTTTCCAAAATGAGATTTTAAGGTTGTTGAGCCTCTGCTGAGAAGAGCCCTTTCAAAGATGAGATTTTTAAAGTTGTTGAGCCTCTGTTGAGATGAGCCATTTACAAAATAAAAATTTTAAATTTGTTGAGCCTCTGCTGAGATGAGCCCTTTTCAAGATGAGAGATTTTTAAAGTTGTTGAGCCTCTATTGGGAGGAGCTTTTCCAAGATGAGAGATTTTTTTAAAGTTATTGAGCCTCTGTTGAAAGAAACTTTTCTAAGATTAGATTTTTAAAGTTAAAGTTATTGAGCCTCTGCTGAGAGGAGCTTTTCCAAGATGAGAGATTTTTTAAGTTGTTGAGCCTTTGTTGAGAAAAACTTTTACAAGATAAGAATTTTAAAGTTATTGAGTTTCTGCTGAGAGGAGCTTTTTCAAGATGAGAGATTTTTAAAGTTGTTGAGTCTTTGTTAAGAGGAGCTTTTACAAGATAAAAATTTTAAAGTTGTTGAGCCTCTGCTGAGAGGAGCTTTTTTAAATAAAATTTTTAAAGTTGTTGAGCCTCTGCTAAGAGGAGCCATTTAAATTTTAAAAAATATCAATTGAACCTCTGTTTAGAGGAGCCCTTTTCAAAAAAAAAAATTTTGCTCAATGTTTCATCTTTCCAAACAAAATGATTGTTTGTTTGTCTTTGCCTTATTCTTGATTCTCAAAAATAGGCAAAGAGGGCAACTGTAAATATCATTTCTTTTATTATTATTATTATTTATTTAATATTTTTTTCATTTTTTATTTTTTTTTATTTTTTTCTTTCTTCTTTCTTTCTTTCTTTCTTTTTCCTTCTTCTTCTTTCTTATCCGATTCAAATCTAATGCATTAAATGCACAACTTTAAAGTCTAAAATCACCGTTGCTAGCTGCCAGTGGTCGACCGACAAGCCACCTATCACGCATGACAAGCGTTAATTTTCAGTTGAAAAAAATGAGATTCGAATCCCAAAAGATTTGAGATTTGAATCTCAAAAAGCTCTATAAATAGAGCTTGTTATCTGTAAACAAAGGAAGAGAGAAAAGGAATCGAAAAAAAAAGGTGAAAAAAAGGCAGAAACAGTCCCCTGGAATGAGGAACCCAGCGTCGAGGAAGCTACCTACAAAAAAAATTAGTTTTAGTTAAAAAAACCTGAAAGTTTGAGTCCCAATCTATGCTTATCAAGACTATTTCTGACGAAAATAAGATTGGATCTAGAACGAGGATGAAAAAAGGAAGCTTTTGAAAGATTGTGAAATTTTTTGACCACCGACGACGGCAGTCGGTGACCGACGAACGGTTGCGACGACAACGAAAAAAAGGTCGACCGATGATTTTTTTTTCTTGCTGAGTGAAAAAAAAGAAGGTTTTTTTTTCTGCTGAAGGAAAAGAATGAATGAAAATTTTTTTTTGACTTTTATATAGAAGACTAAACCCAAAACGACGTCATTTCAATAATGCCCAAAAGGATGCCGTTTTGAGACCTGAGGATTCGCACGTCGACCCGTAACCTGACTCGGGATCCGCGTAACCGACCCAACAACCTGTTTTCCCTTTGACCTTTGACCGGTTCATCTGAATCAGACCCAGACCGGGCCGAACCATCCCTGAACCGCCAGACCGAACCAAGCCGTCGATCTGATCGAACCCTTATTGATCGGACTGTTGACCGGTCAGGTTTAGGTAAAAAAATTTTTTTTTTGAATTTTTTAAAGATTTTTTTATATATTATTTTTGTTATTTTAATTATTATTATTAATATTTATGCATGTAAAAATGTTTAAATTTATCAAAATAAATTTTTATAATATTTAATAATATAAAATTGATAAAAAAAATAAAAAAAAGAAATTTTATCCAATGATGAGATTTAAAGGTATTCTAAGTAGTGATACCTATAAAATCTCTAGGTGAGAAGAATTTTTTTTTAAATACTACTAGTGTATTAGAATATTTATAAAAATTTTTCAATACAATACAAAATTTTTTTTGTTAACAATAAATAAAAATTAATTAATATATTAAAAAATAATAATATAAATAAGAAAAAAAGAATTTTATCTAATGATGAGATTCCAAAAGTATTCTGAGTAAAGATGCTTTAAGAAATCCCTATGTGAGAATATTTTTTTAAAAATATTACTAGTATATTGAAATATTTATAGAAAAACTTCAATACAATAAAATTTTTTTTTCCTTCAAAATTAAAAATAAAAAAATTAATTAATAAAATAATTAATAAAATTTTTGAAAAAGAGAATAAAATGTGTGCATTAACATGTTATTATTTGCATTACATACATAACATAATTTTTTACGAAAAGTAAATTTGGACCTCCAAAGATGAGATTCTAAGGTATTCCGAGAAGTGATGCCTAAAAAATCTTTATGTGAGAAAGAGTTATTCTAATATTACCAACGTACTGAAAAATTTTAAGAATTATTTCAATAAAAAAGTTTTAATTTATTTTTCTCGAATAATATTTGAAAATAAAAACAATAAATAAAAAAATAAAAAAATCAAGAAAATTAATTTTCAAATATCGAAAATAGGATTGTTTTTATCAAAATCGAAAGATAACATGTAGTTAATTGGTACCGTCTTAGACAGATGCTGTGGGGTGCTAATTTTTTTTCATACGTAACCGACTCCTGAACTTCGACTATTGTGTAGACCTTAAAATTATCTTTTTAATAAATTTTAATTAATTTTAAGATTTCATTAAAATGATATGCTTTAATAAATGACCAATCGTACCTAACCAAAAAAAGATTGGTGGCGACTCCGTTTTTTTTATTTCATTTTCAAATTCATCGGACGGATACAAAATTATTACGACACTGATCATGAATTATATTTGGCATATATATATATATATATATGTTAGTGATGAACAGATGATGGTTAGGCAGCATGCATGAATAAAAGTGCTCAACCCTAATGTTTTGGCTTGATCGCTGTTCAAAATGATGAGGTTGAAGACTGCTGGGTTCCAACATGATCCATGAGAGATATTGGCAAGATCAAATTCATATCCTATAAAGCTAGCTGTTGTAATCAATCCCGCCGTTGGTCCCAAATTCATGACGCTCCTGGAAATCATAAAATTTGGAGATACGCCTAACCATACACCCTTGCACGACAAAAAAAAAAAAATGACAATTAAGGGATCTTGATGAGATATATAGTTTAATATATAGATGAGTTGAAGGACAAGGCTTTGCTTCGTAACTAGGGTGGCCATCTCCAGTCATGATCACCACAATTTTCAGCTCCATACTGCCTGATCATGCTTGTATGGTTTCTTTGTACTTCTTATTTCCCATTTGCAAATTCTGGGGATGACCATTGGTGACTGCAACCAAGGAAGAGCATCGCAATCATAATAATATAAAAATTGTTCATATTTGATGTATTTTTAGTATATAAATTTTGTATGTTATCATATTTGATATATATTTGGAGTTTGATTTTTTTTAGACTCGATAATAATAAATTATTATTTTTATTTAGTTTAAATTCTAAAAAGTAATTTAATACTTTAATAATAAATATATTTTAAACGATCATGCCCGGCATGCCATTGTCAACACCTTTACTCTTTATGTCTCCAGCCCGCCAGAGTCATTTTTGGTTAATTTGCTGTGGGTCATCGTCGCTTAAGCATTTTCGTTTCACGCAGTAAAAGAACATAGTTTCAACCTCATAAGAGTAAAGAAAAAACATGGCTATCTCTCTCAATCCACCGTAACAAATCTTCTCAGTTTCTTTCTCTCTCTCAATATTCTCCAAATTCCTTCTAGACAAATATATGGGTCTTTTGGGATTGTTCAAATCAATCGACTGGGAATCCGAGTCTTATCCACAACTCAATGATTTCGTGCTCCTTCCTTTCTTTGCTTTTCTCTTCCCTTCTGTCAGGATTTTCCTAGACAAATTTGTCTTTGAGGTATATAACTATCATTTTGTTCTTCTATTTTCTTTAATTGTTGTCTTTGTCTTTTAATTCTTTCTCTTATGGTGGAATTGCTGTTCAAATAAGAAAAGAACTTGGGGTCAACGCTATGGTTCCTAGTTGACTTTTTGTTTTGATTGTGCTATTGGGTTTTTTGTTCAATGAATTATGGTCTTAGGCCTTTCCCTTTTGTGCCAACTGCTTGTAGTTTTAGTAGTATATGTTTGATTTCTAGCAAGAACCCTGTTTAGAGAGAGTGGTTAACATGATTCAATAACTCAACTTGGAATTGAAAGCGTTCACTTCTGTAATATAACTGCTTGAGAATTGGATTGAAGCCCAGTTTTCTGTTAACTTCATTATGATATTATTCAATGTAATCACAGCAACTTCATTTTAAAAATTTTTAGTTTTTTTTTCTTTTTTTTTCTTTCATAATAGATCATTAACCATAGAGATTAATGAATGTCCAAAACTTTCTCAATCAAGTTGGTTTTTTTTATTTATTCAAAATCACCATTCAGCACATTTCTCAACTTAATACATTTTGTTCTAGTCTTGATGTGCTTGGTTGGTGTGGCAATCTTTACTTTGATCATTTCGTTTCAATTCTTTTCATCATTGTTGACTTATATGTTCAAAAGTGGTTTAATTTCATCGATTTCTTATGAAGGGATTTAAATGCTTTGTGACGAAGTAATTTAGGATTAAAGATCATGTTTGGTACACAAGATTATGATAGGATAGGATAAGATAATATTATGAATAGGATTAGATTAAATAATGTCATCTGATCTTATGTTTCATGTCTATAAGGATTAAGATAGGATAATTTATTTATTGGTCAAAATCATCCTTCCTCAAAGTTTATACAATTTAAATTATTGATGTAATTTTTAAGGGTATAATAGGACATTTAAGTTTAATCCCATGGATTAAAGATAATCCTCTTCACTTTGGGAGGATTTAATCATCCTATACCAAGAAGATGATAATCCTCCTTGTAATCCTATCCCTTTCAATTAGATACAAACCAGACACAATATAGAATGATTATCATACTATCCTATCAATTATCCTATGCACCAAACATGACCAAAAGGATTTAAACTAATCTTCTATATTTTTTTCGTGGTAGCTCGCCATCTCATGTGAGACTAATTCTTCCATTTGTCTTAATTCGGTGAGATCAAGTTTTTTAAGTTGGATGTTGTGACAAATGCTAAAGTGATGACAATAATGTATCTCCTATTATGACAGTGAAATGCTTTCTTAATGTTTGATATGGGTATTCCTTGATTTCATAGACTACAGACTCATGACTGCCAACCTTAAGGTGTAATGCTTCAGGTATTTTGGTTGTATTTATCATCTATCAAAGAATACTGAAGTTAACTCCAATGAGACTTTCCTACCATCATGTAGCTCTTGATCTTTATTCTGTAATGAAGTTTCACTATACTTTTAACATGGAGGACAATTTTGAAGATTGATTTGATTCCTGATCAAGGAACAGGTTTTATGTAGAAATCAGATGAAACTGTTAGAATGCCACTCTCTATTCAACTTGTATCAATCGCAGAATCCATACTTGGATGGGTCCAGATTTTCCTTGTCAATCCACCAAATAGGATATATCTATTCGTTTAAGGGATTAAGTTATAGTCAAATCCTAGTATTACCGAGGATATAATGGTAACAAGTTGGTTGGCCAAGATTAATGGGCATAAATCTCACACTCCCAAACAAACAGTACTGATGACCATCAACCCACTTAGCCACTTAAGAGTTAGCTTTTTGGATTTTTAAGCCACAACCATTGTTGGCTGAAGGCTAACATGAAATTTGAATGTCATGACAAATATTCATGTCTTTTCATAGGATCATTAACGTTTTGGTGAAATGCTCTACCTTCTAGGGCAAGGTGCTGATGGTTAAAAATAAAAAAGGAAAAATGGTGTGGAATTTTCATGTCTTGTTCTGAAGTAGCAGTGGAGTCTATGTACATTCGCCTCTCAATTGATGATGATTGCAACGATAAAAAGTGTAAACAGAGGATGCTTCCATTTACTTAAAAGCATCTAGGCCCTACAACAAGCATCTATCCGTACAGGGCCCCTTTTATTGATCTTTACTAATTCCCTTTCTCTTACTAGGACCTTTTTTCCATAATCAATGACATTTTCATGTTTTATATTGCTGATGTTTGAACAATTCTAACAAGATCTTGAAATAGTAACAAGATGGTACTGGTTCTTGGTAAAAGTACATTCATAGTGTTAATTGAAACCTGCATTCATGAATTATGCTTCCACATCTCATCTCTTGCTATTTGCCTTTTTTTTTTTTTTCTAAAGTTTGCTTGATGAGAAGTAGCTGTTAATATTTGTTACAGAATCTGGCTAGGAGACTGGTCCTTGGCAAAGCCCACACCTTGCAGGATGTTCAAAGGCATGATAACAGGAAGAAACTCAATAAATTTAAAGAGTCAGCATGGAAGTGTGTCTACTTTTTTTCATCAGAAATTTTGTCTATTTATGTTTCCTATGGTGAGCCTTGGTTTACCAAAACAAAGTACTTTTGGGAAGGGCCCGGTGAACAGGTTTGGCCTGATCAAAAAATTAAGTAAGCTCCTGACTCATGTATAAATCATTTTGTACAAGTCATATGGCATTAACTTTTGACATGTCAGGTTTCCATGGTAGATGATTAGCTTTTTTTTTATGCTCAGATTGAAGCTGAAAGGATTGTACATGTATGCTGGTGGATTTTATACATACTCCCTATTTGCATTGATTTTTTGGGAGACAAGGCGTTCAGACTTTTTGGTGTCCATGCTTCATCACATAGCAACTATCATTCTCATTTTTCTATCTTACATATTCAGGTATTTCATGCAGTGTACAAATGCAGTGCAGTTCCTATTTTCTACTTTTCCTGTGAAGAGTGGACTTTACTTCTGACTACTCAAAAAAAGTGAGAGAGAGTTTGTGTGTGTGTATATATATATATATTTTACGGTTAGAAACCTATTACATTTGTGCTCTCTGTTACCACTTCTTTTCTAGCTTTCTGTTAATTAATCATAGTTTTATTTAAGTAAATACTCTGTCCTTTTGCATCGCAACAATTTTCATTCTCCCTGTTGCAGGTTTGGTCGTGTAGGTTCAGTTACTTTAGCCCTTCATGAAGGGAGTGATGTGTTCCTAGAATTTGCAAAGATGTCAAAATATAGTGGCTTTGAATGGCTTGCTAGTTTCTCATTTGTTCTTTTTGCTCTCTCTTGGACCATTTTTCGAATGATACTTTTTCCATTCTGGATAATCAGGAGTACAAGGTGAGCCTCAGTCTCAGCTTGACTGGAGTTTTTGTAATATTTTTGGGTATTTCTCTGTATTAAGTGCCCCCTTTTTTATAACATCCTACAGGACAAGAAGGAATGAATTTCTCGTGCTCCATATATTTTATGACATAAATATCTAAGCATTAACTGAGGAGAATTATTGGTCTGGAATGTATAATTCGATGCCATAGAGTAGATGATAAGTTTTTCCAGGATAGCAAAGGCAATGAAACTTTGAAGAATATACACAGTGATTAAGAGAACCAGATGTAGAAACCATTGGTTTGCAGACCTCTGTATCATTGCATTAGAACATAGCCCCATCATATATCCAGAGTTTTAGATACTCGTCTTTTAAGTATTTTTAATGATAGTGAACAGATTTAACAAAATCTGTAGAGGTATGGTAGAATAAAGCAAAGTTCCTTAAGGCTCTTTTATGTGCCTTTTTGCATTATGTTTGGCTATTATGAGAAGAACAGTTGTTGAGAATTTCCCAGTAATCCCAGTTTTTAGTTATTGCTGTTTCCCTTTTGCATAAGATTAAATACTTAAGTAATCACTGGTATGTTGTTTCTAATTTTTAATTAATCTTCAAGTTTTAGTTTCCTCAATGCTGATGATTTTGCAGTTGAGAACCCAAGTTTTAGAAGGCAGAAGCTTTGAACTAAATATTTTCTGTGTTCTGTTTTTCACTTTGTCTTTAATAATTTTCATTGTTAACTGGCTGTTTTGCTGCATCTTTGCTTGGTGTGCTGATAACAGTGGTCTTTTGCTGTCATTTGACGACTCCTTAATTCATCCTCCTTTACTGGCTATACGAATTGCTTTCTTTCTTTTAATATTTTAACCCTGTGCATTTTTTTTTCAATTTATTTTTCACAGCTATGAAGTTCTTTTGATATTGGACAAGGAGAAGCACATGGTGGACGGATCCATATACTATTATTTATTTAACACTCTTCTCTTCTGCTTGCTTGTTGTTCATACTTATTGGTGGGTCTTGATGATAAGAGTTATTATGAGACAAATCCATTCTGGAGGAGAAGTTGATGATGTTCGATCAGGTATGAGCCATCTAGAAATGCTTTCAAATTGCAGCTAGGCTCTAGCAGAAACACAAATGTAAGGAAAGAAAGAAGAAAAGGACAGAAAAGTTAAAGCATTAATAGGATAATTCTAAGATTAACGAGAATGCACTACTTTTTCTTTCTTTAACACATTAGGAGAAAGGAATAGATATCTGATATCGAGACTAGCTAGTGAATTACTAATTTGGATCTTGCAAGAGTATATATTTATGCAGAGTATAGCTAAGTACTTTATTCTGATAACTTTCTTACTGACCATATAACTGGATACCCTATTGTAAACATGTATTTGTATAGCTGTGCGTGGGCATTTGCTCACTTGCAGATATAATTATGCTTTCAAAACCTGAGAGAGAAATCATTTTTCAAGGTTTTTGAAGCACAAGTAAGGGAAAACTCGAAAAGGTTGGGTCAATGATCTTTAAAGTCCTAACCTCTTTGTGGGTATGATAGCTAAATAAATGGACTGAAATGGTTAGTGTTATTGTCATTGGAAAATCGTAGGTCTTTATATGTTCGAACTTGATAAAGTTGGAATTCACCTAAGAACAGATAAAATGTTGTCTAAAATGGCATGAGATTTGACAACAGGGACAATTATTCTGTTGATATTATGACACCATTTAAGCAGTTAATTTTGTTTATATTTTAAGTCAAGTTTGTTGCATTTCGAGGACATTTGTTACATTATCTTGTAATGCTAAGTCCGAATGTCCTGGTGTTTCTACAGATTCCGAAGGTGAAGATGAACATGATGATTGAATAAGAAAAGATTTCGGAACACCATTTATACTTGTTTATCATTGTTTTCAACACTTTGCAAAAGTAATTTTCTTTCAACCCTATGTATTTTCTTCCCATTGGTGGATGTGATTATTGTAGTTCTTGCATAAAATTTGGAGCATTGATTTAGTCATTGTTCCCCGTAACATTGAGTTTCTGACAATTCTCAAGTAGTTGGTTTGTCTTCTTATTCAAAATTTCCTTTGATGAAAAGGCTCATCAAAAGGCACTTTGATAAACATTGGATAAATGGCTGTTACAACTCATAAGATATATTTATCTTTGTCAAAGGAAGACGGAAAGGCTGAAGGCAACATGGGCAGAAACTAGCCGCCTTTTTATTTTAATCTTGCTTTACTTTTGTAGGTTAGATTTTCGTCCTTAATGAGTTAGGTTCAAATTGCATGGGCTTCAGGCCACTGTAACTTTATTCTCCATGAACTTCTATGCTAAGAACTTCTCTAAAGGCCGAAGAAATTTTAAAACCTATTAAAGGTGACCTTTATAATATATCTGAAGAAAACTTGTGAAATTGATTCAAAACAACGATCAAAATTTGCTTCACCACCCAGAATCTACCATACATTCTTGCTTTCATTCTTATATAGTACATACTATTTCTATGCTTCTATCAATGGGATTGGAGGTGTTCCCAACAGCATCTAACTTCTCTGAACTCTGGTTTTGCGTTAGCAACTATCCCTTGAGCTTTTGGAATGATCAAACAATGTCGTTCAGTGTTGAGGGTTGATGTTGTTTTTGCATACTTATTCCTTCTTATACTGAAAATTCATTGGACTCTGCCTTGCCTTCCTGTTATATACGTATACAATGTTCAGTGTTGAGGGTTGATGTTGCTTCGCATTTAGAGGAGTTTATTCCAGTTTACACCTCCTGCAACTCGAGTCCCTTTTCCTTTTTAAAGGAAAAAGGGAGAGCAAAAAGCAGTTCCAGGCAAAAAAAAAAAAAAATGAGGAAGAGAAGCATGAGGCCAGAAATTCTTGATAGAGAATGTATATCACTTACCTTTATAGAGAATATAGGTATTTTTCATCGGTCTATCTTGATGTTGGTGAATTCCCATTTTATAACATTAGTCACAGCCATGGAAGGAATCGGTTTTGAGTGCTTTTGTCATTGGAAGAAAGAGACCCCAGCCCAGCCAATGGCAATGCTGAAACAGATGCACATACATTGGCCTATGCAGAAAACGAGGACTTTTGAGAAGTTATTCCACTTGGGAGTTATCAATTATCAAAATAGCTGTTGAAATTCAGAATAAAACGACAAATAAAATTTTGTTTGAACAAAGAAGAAGGAATGACACCAAATAAAAAGGGCTGCCGTTGCTTGACCATGCAGACTTCCAGCTCTGCAAAATCATTAGACCTCTTGCCTTAACTCGCTTGATTTCTTATCTTTATATATTTTCTTTTCTTTCTTGTCTTGTTTCCCTTTAGTTTTGCAGCCTCTTTCCTTTGTACCTGTTGTAACCAAAATTGCTCATGCTGTCAAAGAAAAGAAACCAAGAAGGAGAGGACAAAGTGATCATGGCCAAAAGAAGTGAAAGAGAGAAGCAGGAGGTCAGTAATTCTCAGTGGAGAATCTATCGTTTTTGTTTCTTTTCACCTTTCTTGGAGAATATGGATGTTCTTCAGTTGGCTACTTTGGTGGCTTGAATTGTTATACTAATAAAAATCAACCAAGAATCTGGGGTTGATTGCTTTGTGAGTGGAGTTAAAAGGACCAAGGCCCGCCAATGGCAATGCTTAAATTGATAACCTATCGAGTGAGATGAAGCCATGAATCTTGGCCAAAAAAATAAAAGACTAGGGTAGTTTTCATGTTGGATAAGAAGGTATTTGATAACTTTAGGACCCATATACTTGCCGTTGCCTTCATCACAGTCTTTGTTTCCCACTTCTTTCCATGTGCTGGGAGCTTTGTATCTATATTGTGAGTATTTTTCCTACTAGACCCACAGTTGATCTCAGTTTCTAAAGGTGAAAAAGTCAATTGTCTGTTCTTTAAAAAGTTCCTCGGACTAGGATCAAACTAGACCCACTTGATCTCTGTTTACAATGACTCCTCATTTTCTTTCGAAACACATATCAAATAGAAATGAAATCCGACCCTCCAAATATAAGAAAAAATTTAGAAAAAATGAATGTACCCGTGTCAAAAAATACCCGGATCTGACATTTACTCCCCAGTCTGAGTAATATAGATGCCACTGTTCTACCTTTTGATAAGAATAAGAAGTATGGAACCTTTCGGTAACATCTAGGGTGCCAGCCAGCGTAGGTGCAAGTCAATTTATTTGGTCAATCCAAGTAGGAATGCCAATAAAAAGGAAGTAGGGTTGCTTCTAGTTAGCCCATCTATTTGATAAATCTGTATCTTTCATTGGTCGATTAAAAAATATCTGACTTACTTGGTCATTATGTATATAGATTATTCAGTTTTTTAGTTTAAGGTAAAATGTGTTATATTTGACAAGTGATTGTAGATTGTGTATTCGAAATAATCCCAATAATGATCACTAGCGGAATTCGAACCAAAGATCTCTTTATAAAAAAAGATGAACCTTAATTAATTAAACCGATCACTTATTGATGTAATCACTCTTTTTACCTTTAGAGAAACATGATTTATTCTTTTGCAAAAGTAAAACTTAAAAATGAAATACCAAGTTTGACTTCAGGTAAAACACATTAGTTCAAAAAGAGCTGAAATAATAATTGATTATGACAACTATTAGGTTCATAGATTTAAAAGTTTTATCCATAATGATTGATTATGGCAGCTCTTTGCATCCTCTAGAAACTGATCAACTAAGATTCTGGAGACTTGTGATTCAAGTAAATAATAAGTTTCATGTGTGCTGGTCAGCTGCTAATGTGTGATTTCTGGGTGTGATTTCTGAGTTATTGTGAAACTAATTCAATAGTGGCAATCAGTAGTAAGAGATTACAGCGAAGCTAGGAACCTTAACATAGTGGGGGGAAAAGGCTAGTCAAGCTCGAATAACATCAGGAGAAGATATGATTATGATTATGCCATTGCTTTTTGCACATCTTTCTCATCAGAAAGGTATAAAAGTGTAGTCACCTTTTCTTAAATATCACAACTAGATTCCTTAAATTTGGTTGAAACTAATTCCACGAACAGGCAAAGTTTTGATGACAATTAATTGTCATAACATCTCTTACAGATCTTTCTAACATGTTTCTTTGTTTGATTCATAAAAGGGGCTTGATCATATTCTCTCAAAATTTGATTGCTATAATAGATGTTCAACTATCTGTAAAAGTGAACTGTTCATGGAACCCGTACAGACTTGTAACGAAAACCTTCCACATGCCGAATAACAGTTGGAAGGGATTAGAAAGAGATTGATGATTTTTTACAACTTCAAAATGAATGCAAGAAGAATAAATCAAACCATTTAAATGAATATTGAAGTGTAGAGAAAAAAAGTTGACAGCAAACACATAAATATTGTTGTCTCATTCACTGAACTACATGGAAAGACTATAAGGCACTACATTCATAAAGGAACTAACACTAAAGATAATAACTCATTCTCCATTATCAAAAGATTTTCTAAATCATAGCCTCTTATTGTACTTCATAATGATGGAACAATACCATAGCCATAGTCTTCCTTTGAGAACAGCTGATCACCCTCAATTTCCATAGCTGTTTTCCTTGCAAATCTGCCCTTGACTCGAGGTCGAGTCTCTGCGTAGGCTTTCCTGGAGGCATATCTTATTTTCTTCTCAAACTTTCTTGCCTTCCTCTTCTCTCTGTATCGTAGGACCTTTTCTTCCCTGTTCACTGGTGTCAATTGGAGTGGCATCAGAAGCAAGGGATCTGGAAAGAGATCACTTGTCCCTGTTGGAAATCTAGTGTATGAATTTGGAATGTTGCTTGTTGCATTTGGTAAAATGCCAGCAGTAGCGAGCAGCATGGGGACCTGATAGTGAAAAAATGGTGTCAGCAAATTATATGGGAGAACATTATCAAGCCTAGAAGCAGATGGAGTAAAAATAGCTTAAAAACTTTGCAATCAACAAGATTAAGTGTTTCTAAAGTTTAATTGATCAATCATTGGGAAAATAATCATGCTATAGTCAAGTTGCTAATAGCAGCAAATTCTGACAAAAGCAGTCAGAAGCTATTGTGATCCTGAATTCTGACACCGTCTTGCATTCTGAGAACTTCAGAAAAGGCCTATTTGTGATATTTCAGGAGAGCTTCGGAATGGACTTACATATATGCCATTAGTTTGATGCTCTTCACTAAGACATTGGAAAATCCCTTAACCATTGTGAAGCAGCTGAGCTTCCCGAGCATATTTACCCAACAACAACAGTTACAACAAGAAGAACATTTAATGAACTGTGAGTAAAGGTAAAATCATTTCCCAGTGGAACAAAGAAACAAACAAACTTTATAAGTACATAGTTGCATATGTTCAAGACTGCTGGCACATATGTGCTTAAACAGATGCACACGTACACACGTATATAGAGGGAGAAGGATGAAATCCTGGAAATTAGAGTTAAAAATTTTTGTAGTTTTTCACTATTTATGAACAGATAAATCATAATAAGAAGTCAGAAACGAATGTAAAGTTAAATTCTTAACAAGAGATTACTTGACGACAAGTTAATTTAGGATGTGTAGGTTCTTACACTCAGACTACTTGAAGGGGTATTAGTGAATTTGGTTTTTGATCCCCTATGTTCTGTATTGAAGTAAATACTCTGTAACTGCTGGTGTGTTTGCTGCTGCTGCATTAGTTTCTCTTCTTGCTGTGGTGGCTTCTTTGCCTCAAAAATTTGAACTGGAACAACACTATCACTTCCGCTATCGTCTGGATAATTAACAAAGAGAAGTTGCTGCTGATCACTGCACTGTTCTTGGAACTGATGCTCGGTACATGTATCCACAACGTCCATGTACTCATCAAGTTGCTCACTATAGGTAAATCCACTCATGGTCTGGTTGTCAGTGCCATCAGGCCCAAGCAGTAACCAAGGATCTGTTTCATCTTCATCAATTTCCTCATTCAATACTGTAGGGGCTGCAATTTCATTTTCTGTGTCAAACATAGGTCCTGGCAGCTGATCATCCAGGTGAGCACTTGTGGATGAACATACTAGACCAGGGAGTGGAGGAATAGGGACCCTGCTATGGCGACGAGCCAGAGGATTGACTGAGTGTATTTGAATATCACAATTGATGCAAAGTGATGCTGCATCAGCACTGCAGGTGACAGCTGCTGCAGCATTCTTGCAGGCAGTGCAAATCCACGCACGCTGGTGTGACAGGGCCATAGGATTGGCAACATGGATACGCTTATCGCAGTCATCACAGAGGTAAGCGGAGTCAGTGTGGCAATAGAGTGTGCAGGCCGCTGCCTGACATGTATCACAAGTATGAGCCCAGTTTCTAAGGTAACCATATCCACCGGAGTCCACCTTCGACATGCTTGTTTCATGTTGGATTCATTATGTGGGAGAATGGTAATTCAAACAACTTTTATTACGTGTGTAGTAAGTTTCCGATTGTCTACTTGTGAAATATCCGGAGACTGAAAAGATTGTACTTTGGGGTGGAGGAAAAATCTTGAGTGTGTCCACTTGTTTGAAGTCTTTATAAAGGAATTAAAATCATTATGTAATCAAGAAAAGTTGAAGTTCAATCAAGATTCAAATAACTTAAACCGCGTGCTTTGCATCAAGGAGTTGGTTAATGAAAAAGAACCTTTTCAAGCAACTTTCTATGGATTTTAGCCACAAGTTTCCACTTGGCCACAAAGGTTACACGTGATATCAAAGCCAAAGATTCAGATTCTACTATGTTCTTGTCACTCTGAAGTTAGTTTCCTGCATTCAAAAATTTTCTTAACAAATTACAGCATTTTCATGAAAAAAACACTTCAGATGATAAAAATGTATTTCACACGAACAACAAAAAGGTAGTACTAGATAACATGGAGGAAGATAGAAGAAGCTGCCTACTTCCTACACTCAAAGAAAAGAACCAATTAGCTGTTTATTTTGTCAAATGAAAAAAAGGAAGCTACCGGTTCTGTAAGTTCTGTAATAGCAAGTTTTGTCCAAGGATTTAAAAAAGCATAACCTTTTAACAATAGGCTCATGGAGTTCACAAAAATGTATTTAACAATTATGTTTTGAGACAATCATACAATGTCCCATTTGAGTTGGTTCATGCTTGTTATACATGTGTTGGATTCTCATTCTGATAATGAAGTTTATACCTAAATTATCTTAACAAAAACTTCTTGCTTTTATACTCAGGATTTGAACCATAAATTTTTTCTTCTTGTCAGTAATTAAGGAGGCTTTGAACTTTAAAATCTCTCACTGTTAGAAATTAAAAGGATTTGAAAACTTAGTAGTGTTGTTAAGAGGATTTTTGTAATTATCTTTAAAAAGTGACATTGAATAAGTTTGGATTCAAATTCTAATATATATATATATATATATATATATATATTTTCAGTTCATTAAGATATGCTGACAAACAATCTCAGTTTTGTTAGAAAGTATACTTGTTAATTAAGTGAGAAAGAGCTTTTTGAAGGAATTGTATATGGCTTTTTGCAACACATCTCCACCCGCAGCCGTAAAATGCTTTAACATGATCCATAATTTGTATTTCATGAAGGTAAGGAGTGAAGTAGGGGAGCGTAGAGTAAGTGAGAAAGAAAGAAAGAAAGAGAGGTGAGACCGAGAGAATCCAAAAAGTGAAAAGCGTGATGGTTTTCAGCTGTTCAAAGAAATGGTCCGATGATCTTGTGGTTGTGGTTGGATGTTGTTTTAGGTAGGGTTGGAGTTAGCCAGCTTACAGAGTTGATTCTGGGGGCTCACACCTTTGTTCCCACCTACAATTCTATTCCGATAGAATTGCATTAAATTTAGTAATGGAAAAACAAAAAACACCATGACAACTGCCAAGCTCATTCTGTTGCTTAATAAGCTGAAAAATAGGACACAAAGAAGATCAATGCTGTTTTTGTTGAAGCAAAATACAATTAGTCTATAATGAAAGCCCTTTTGCTGGTATTAATCAAGTTGAAGCAGTTTCATCTGCTTTGTTCTGACACTGACTTCACCAGTGGGCATGAAAACCCTGCAATCATGACCTGGCAATAAAGTGACTGGACCAGATTCAGTTTCTCATAACTTGGAAATCTTAGTATGATTGTGCCTACTCCAAACAACCAATCAAAATCTTACAACTATTGTACTTCCAACAAGAATGTTCGATTTAGGGGGATATTTGAGGAAAATGACAGCATTACCAATGGAGCCTGAAATGTTGGCTCCATTCCAGTCGCAATCTAGTATGGACTCTGTTCAAAGATTTCCATTTGCCAATACTTGAAACATTTTGCAGAAGAAAATAACTTTAAGAAAATCTTGAAACCGGCATGCTTTATTGACTTTAAATAGGTCTGAAATAAAAGAAACTGAGATACATAAAACAAATTATTGGGTTTTTTCTATAAAAAAAAAAAAAGAATCTTGAATGCAGAGGGAGATCTGGACTTGAACAAAATTACAGATCATGAAGTTAAATAGTTATGACAAACGAAAAAATGCAAAACTATCACTACTCCAAAAAGGATTATCTATGTAACATTTAATAAGGAACTACTGTTACTATCACAGATACTTTTACTTCTGAAGTACTTAAAAGACATGCGAGTTCACGGTGCAAGCTGCTAAAATGTGAATGGCCAACTTGTGCATAACTGATTGAGTGCCCTTTCCTTCACAACCCCCATATTATATCACTTTGAAAACTTTGAGATCAACTTGTCAACGTGAATTATGATATCATCTATGCGAGGGCGAACAGCAGCCTGAGGTTGAAGCATCCAAGTCACAAATTGGTGTAGAGCTTCTGGATAGGGAGGTTTAGGTCCAACTGGCCACTTTATCTGTGCATTTACAATGGCCAATTGCAGGCTTCCTCCAGATTCTCCAAGTGCATACTCGAACGGGGATACCCCATACCTACACCAAATGAAAATAGCACAAGTAGATAAATAAAGCTGCTAACTACATACACATAAAAGGTTCACTGCAGAGGATAAAAGCATTTTCAAGAAGCATCAATTCAAAGATAAATTATAGCACCACATGAAAGTAGAAATATTACAAATGCTTTAGCTTGTTTCCAGATAGCATTTACATTACATCCAAGCTATAGATAGAGAGAGATAGTGCAAGCCAGACACACATATGAAACTCCAAAAATGAGTTCATTATAAAGACTATAGGAAGGAAAACATGAAACTCCAAAAAAAGAGAGTTTTATCAAAGTATCATAAAAGAAAAAAAAAACATATTAGTAGCCCCACTTTCGGTGAGTTTCCTGCTTACTGTAATGTCAAATCCACTTTCACTGCTCAACATAAAGTACATGTCATTTAAATTGCCCACTAATGATTAACATTACATAAATGCATCAAGTTCTAATGAAAGAACTTATATCAACTGATTTACTTGGCTAGAGACACAGGTAAAAGATGTCATGGCAAAACTTTAGATATGCAGTAGAAAAACATGTAAAGATACTTTAAAGTTTAAACTACTGTCTTGCCACTGCCCTGTGATTCAATTCACACTTTTTCCAAAACCTTAATTGTGAGGAGGTAATTTTTGTTGAAGCAAATGACACCACAATCTCCTGTTTTTGTAGCACACAGTTATGCCTATTTCGTGTGAATAAAAAGGTTTTTCGGGGTGCCACCACATGTCCAGGGCCAAATCTCAATCAATTAGGTTGGATGCAATCATCACTCTTCATACCAACACCAATGGACAACAACATGAAAATACAATAACCCTGTTTTTAGCATTATAGAACCTTCACATCAAATACTTAAAATCTACTCTTTAGATTAAGCGAGAAGGAAACCAATAAAATGATTCCAGCCACAAGACTTGCCCAGACACTTTGTTTACTATATTGTTTAACAAAAGAACTTGATGAATGATGATAAAAGGACAGAAAGTACAATAAAAAAAAAGTTTATTAAAAGAAAGCAAACACTGTACAAGTGCATGTATAAGTATTAATTCTTACATTATTGCATATAAAGTGCACCCCAATGACCAAATATCAGTTCTCTCATCAATATCTGCATGGCTAGGGCAATCCCACAACTCAGGAGCTCGGAAAGGTGCTAAGCAGTGCTCAGATGCCCATTCCTACATATGAAGACAACATCTAACAATGAGCATGTTAGAAGATGCATTAAGCTGATAGACAGAAAAATGTGCCTTAAAATATTACATTCAAACTTAAGAAAAATATGCAGGGATGACAACTGATAGTGCCATAAGCTAATGCAATAAATTATTATGGCTTTTAAAAAATCAAGAAAATGACTTTTGACATATTTTATGAAGATGAAAAAGGTAAATGCATCATACAAATAAGCCAAGTATGTACTTATACAACACTTTGTATGTGTTTAAATAAATAAGATACATATGTTTGTTTGAGGAACATCAAGCATACAGATCTACAGAACAGGAAGAGCTGGGTGATTTTCTGGCAAAGATGAGAAAGAATTTCTAAAGCACAGAAATATAATATGTGTTTAAATAAGATACATATCTTCGTTAGTAAAACATCAAGCATACAGATCTACAGAACAAGAAGAGTTGGATTATTTTCCAGCAAAGATGAGAAAGAAGTTCTAAAGCACAGAAATATAAGAAGACTTCTAACCAGTGAGGAAAAGTAAAGAAGAAAAAGGCACCTGAAGTTGTAGTGCCTCAGAACGAGAGCGAATTTCCTTCCTTGCAGGACGAACACTCCCAAAATCCATCAATATAGCAAGAGGCGGCTGCCCTTTTCTATGGGTTAAAAGAACATTACCAGGCTTGACATCATTATGTGCATATGGAGGCTCAAGACTGTGCATATGTTTGAGTCCGGCACACAGCTGTGAAATAATTTGGTCCAGTCAAGATGCCTTTTTTTGGCCAGTGTCCAGTCAAGATGCTTATAGCCATTTCTAATCACTTATTATGACATCAATGAAACCAAAATACAAAACGCTATTCAGAGGAATTCTACAACATAAAAGAGCAAATATAACAATATTGAAGTGAGATGTTTAAGTATAAAGAAATGCATCATATCGACTGATAACAGGTTCTATATAGTTATCAATTCAATGCAAATGAGAACAATATTTCAAGCCCTTAAAAGTGTATTATAAAAGGAATGGCATCACATGGTTCAAAAAGATCAGATTGTTTTACTCACCTGCCGAAGTATTTGAAGAACATCTGAGGTAGAAAAGAATTCCCTTTTAGCTTTCATAGCTTTGGAATTGTCCAGTAATGTTCCATCCAAATGAACAGGAAATAGCAAATATGCTTCATGATTCCATGATCCTTCTTGTGTAGGCTAGCCAATGAAATCAAATTGTTTTAGATAAATACAATTGTATGAAAAGTACTTTGAAAGAAGAAGAAATAAGCCATGAAGACAACACCAGAGCATCTTGAAAAATAGTTTCCATTGCAAGTTTATGGGTAAATGAGTCAATAAATTCAAAAAAATTTAAGATGCGTCTAACAGCTTCTAAGGTTAATTAGAATAAGACATTTGAATAATTACCTTAACAGAAATGATAGCATGATCAAGAAGCGGAAGCAAGTTAGGGTGACTAAACAAGGATGAAGCACGGATCTCCTCCTGAACCAATTCCAACTGCTCATTATTCTGAATGAGAACTTTCTTCATTGCATAAGTTCCATCATCTGCAAATGCAATCCAACTTATGTTAGTTCCAAAACCAAGTTAACTTTCTCTTCAATCAGATGAATACACAATTTTTAAAATAAAATAATAAGATCCTGCAAACAAGATAGCAGAGGTCACCATCCTTGATAAATCCCCAAACGAAGAAAGGTTAGCAAATCCATTTAAGCTGTAAATTCAGATAATAAAAAAAAAGCATAAATCTGGAATCTGATAGGGAAGAAGTCAAGCCACCATAAATCAAAGACACCATAACTTCATATTAAGTACGAAATTCTATGTCAAATGCCCTAGTTTTTACAAAAGAACTGAGATAAAAAAAATCAACCCATCCATAATTTTAGTTCTATAACTCCAGCAATAGGAATTTGATAATTATGGAAAATTCCACTTTTACACCCAACATGAATCATGATTCAATTTTACTAGATTATCATATTACTATTGGGGCATAGAAGAGAAAGAAGGACAATTTCAGATCCATAGTTTTAACTAATAAGCCAAAACAAAATAACACCAAAAATTTACCACAAAAATTCATAGAGAATAAAATAGCTGGTTTCAATTTTCCATTGACAAGATACTTGAATTTCCTATAAAACAGTCACATAATATCACCAAACTTCAACTAAAGAAACCAGAATGTAAGGAATCCATATATTATGTCACCACAAATACCAACCAAAAACAACAAATGCACAATTTAAGGAAACATAGAGCTAAACAGAAGATTCAATCTAATTAGAAACTGAAAGCAATCACCAACAACGATTTAAAGAAACGCCCAGATAAGTGATAAACCAACCGAATAGAGAAATACTCAAATCAAAAAATCCTTAAAAATATTAGAAAGTGAAATTTTTGAAGCGAACGAACCAGAGAGATGAGAAGGGTCCTTGACTTTTTTGGCTAATCCACCAGCTGAAGCTGAAGAGGAATCGGACATGACTTCCTTCACCAGGAAAACATAGGCTAACCCACCTTCACCCAACTGCCTCACGATCCTGAACCTGTTGTCGTTGATCCAAACATCCCCTCCCCCATTAACGGCATCGTATAATGCATTCAACCCTGAAAATGTACACCCCATTGTTTTCCCTTTTGCCTTCAACTAAGGATAAAAAAACAAAAAGGAAGTCTTTCAGATCTTCAATCTCTCATTGTTTTTGGTTTGTTAGAATTGAGAAACGTAAAATGGCAGATCTTGGCAAGCTTTCTCTCCTTCTCCATCCTCCGGAAAATTTTTTATTTAATAGTTTACAGCTTTTAAAGCCTTCATTTTTCATGTCAACAATAAGTGTATCAGACACTCCACTTTCTCATTCTTCCACCCCGCTGTTTACTTTGTGATTGGCTACCGTCAGTTTTACGCGACTGCACGCATCAAAATGAGGCCCAACTGAAGCCGCATTTTGGAAAGTGACATTCTGTTCCAGTCCGAGTGAAATTTTCTTGCCAAGTCAAACTCAACATTTATTAAGCTTTCATGCTATTTATTTTTTTCAAAAAAAAGTAAAAACAAAGCAAAAATAATAAAAAAAATAAAAATACCAATCAAGGACTACCTAAATTAATAAATTTTATTATATTACATGATCTAACCATGTACTGAGCATTTTTTTTCGTGAATTCTAATCCAAATTCAGTTGCCAAACTTGTACAATGGTGCAAGCAATAATAAAATATGAAGTTGATATTTGTTTATATTATAGTATTTGAAATTTTCATATAAACCATTAGTATAAATCTGTGTAGAATGTGTTAAGTTTGTAAAAAAGTGGCCATTGGTACAACCCAAATCTTCTGCTGCAGAAACTGAGGCTACAAATCAAACATAGGCTGCTGCAGTTTTATTTGGTTAATCTCACACAACTGGCTGTTGTTGGGTGATGCAATGTATATTTCCACCTCCCAAAACAATTTCTCGAGCACCCTCAATGCCTACCACCTGAGCCAAAATTGAAACAAAGCTCACTCGGTCAAAGAAAACATCAGGCTTTGATACCAATTCAAAGAAAACATTCCTTGAAGACATCAGCTTCAGGTACTATATTAATTCATTCAAGTGTAGCTTGTTATGTGGAAAATACCATCAACCATTAGCTTTAAAGAAAGAGATCATTTGCATTTTGTCATTATTAATCATTATTTCTTCTGAATTCCACAATTCCAAGTCTACTGCAAATTGTAGATCATGTCTAAAAGTTTGAAATGAGAAGGGATCATTGCTTACATCAAACTAATCAGTGAAAAGTCTCTTTCATAACTTTATCACTGGATTGGTTTGGAACTTGGTGACAGTGATTCATTTGACAGGAAGAAAACTGTGAAGACTTGCATTCAACTTACAAGGTATTGTCTCTTTTGTATCCTAAGATTTCATGGTTTTATCTCATAATAGGCATCTCACAAGTATGGTTTTAAGTCTATATATACCATAACAAATTCTCTGAATATCCTGATGTTGGATTGGAGTGTTAAAAGACAGCACATATTATGTGATAATTTATGTGACCCAAATAAAAATGAACCTTCAGTTGTTTACAAAACGTGAGCCACAATTTCAGTCAAAAGCCTTCAGTGCCAGGTGCATGACCAGAAAATTAGTATAATGAAAATTTAAAGATAGTTTGAACTGCTAGCTTTAAACCATCTTAACTTCTAAGAGTTATAAACTCAGCATGCCATCAGGCATATTATACCGGTGATTGTGAAAAACTACCATGATTTTGAATTCAACGTTCAAATCTTATCCTGGTTTCCTTAACCTCATTTGATATCAATCTTTGATCACACCCCTATCTTCTGGGGTTCCCATCTTCGCTAAGAAATGAAACATTTGTATTTATATTCTCTTCTAGTCTACAAGGTCTGTGACTGTACGTGATTCACTATTTTGATAAATCAATAAAAAAAATTTTCTTATTTATCATTCTCTTCCTAGGCATTTTCCCATTTTACTTGAATAACTAAAATGGAACTATATATTGCAACCATCATGATTTGCTATGAGGCACATGTTGAACAGAAATACTTGCTTACTTCATGGTCCGGAAAAGCTTGAGAAAGGACACAAACAGCTTCATCATCCCACTTTTTGTCCCCAAATTGTGGTGTGATGATCCCTCCATTGGCAATATAGAAGTTTACATATGAAGCAGCGAGTCTTGTACCTGGAAGTCTTGGTTTAGCCTCACCATCCTGTAGTTGGAAGCATCACAGACCAGGAAATAATGTACAATAAGACCCTTTTTCTTTTGGCACGAACAACTAGATAATAAAGGATCAAAAGTTAAAGCATAAATCAAGTGTTTGATTATCAAATTATTTGGCAGGATTGTGCTCTTTTTTACTAGGTTTATGCCACTACTAAATAAAAGAAGTTAAAAGGTCAATCAGATGAACAATTTCATTCTACAAAGCTATAATTAATATTTAAAAAATGAGCAAAATTATATCCGGAACAAGAGCACAAAGATACAAAACTGAAGATAGAAATCTTAGTCTTGCATTCTCAAAGAAGCTATAATAATTAATGCTATATTAACAGGGAAAAGACAACTGCATTATCTCAAAAGCTACATATTAGCAGCCTAGCACTAAGTTGAATGTGTATGGGCTAAGTTGCAGAGCCATGAAAAAAAAAATGCTTACTTGAGCAACTCCATCAGCTTCTTCATCCGTCATAAAAAGCGGCCCCGGAACATGTAGTTTAATTATTTGTAATTTCTGACCAGAGGCATCTGTAGCATTTGAGAGAATTGAAAAGGCTTCCATGGAACGTTCATACTGAGGGTCTGTTTCATCATCAGTCCAAGACAACAAAACAACACCAGGCTTTGCAAAGCAGCACATATTATCAATATGACCATTAGTATCATCATCACCTGCCAAAAATTAAGAAGATACTTTAAATTTCAGCAGATATGTGAAGTGTTAAAAGAGCTCTTCAGATTTGCTTGTGCTAGTGGAAGTCAATAAATGCTACAGTGCCACAGCTATCTCAAAGGAAATTGTTCCATATTTTAAAAGTTAAAGATATCAAGTTAAGCTTTACCTGAATGAGTTTGCATATCAGATACGAAAACTAGAACATGGATAAACAACAATATTGCAGTTCTCTAACTACTCAGTAAATAAGAAGCAATTGAAAAATCATTCCAAAGTTTAAGAGGGTTAAAGATATCTTATTATATCACTGAGGATCCTCTTAAGGAGGTTTGACTGATATTTTTGTGCAATAAAAGAGACAAGAACAATACACATGTTTTTCTGTAGTCACGTATGAATCATTGTAACAGTGACATTATGTAAAGATGAAATCATGATCCCCACACCCCACACCCCACCCCACCCCCCCCCAAAAAAAAAAAAGAAAAAATATTAAGAGCTTGTAAATCCAAAAGAAATTTCAGATATATGAATCAAATGAGGAATCAAGTACCATATAATCCACGAGGCAACCAAATAACCTTCTTGACTCCAAGATATGCCTTAAGTTCATCCTCTATATGTTCTTTGGTCATATTCGGATTCCTGTTTTCATTCAAAAGGCACTCCTCGGTGGTAAGGCAAGTCCCTGAGAGAAAAGCTAAAGCCGAATAAATTCTAAGAATGACACATTGTTTGAGCAAAAAAGTAGTTATAATTTCAAGGGTTGCAACAAAACAACATTACTTTCTGAATACTACATTAATTGTGACGTGATGCATCTAATAATGTGTAAAAATATATTTAATCTTTTGCACCTTCTTTAGAGAGGCTGTATGTGATATGGAAGCATAAAAAATCATACATTGAGTTGCAAAACCATTCTTTTAAAACTACTTCTCACAGATTGGATAGGCAAGGACAACAGAAGGAAGACTGGAGCAAATCATCTTTCAAGCACATGATTCCTCCACCTTTTCATGGCTTAAGCATTCAAACTACTTTGCTGACAAAGCAACTAACTAGAGAGAGAAAGATGTAATCGCAGATTCTTCTGAGATTGCTTGGATGACAGACTACTTTTACAACTATGATTAGAGAGAAAACAAAAGTGAATGAAGAAAAGAGATGCAATTAACTAAAGTCCTGGTAATGTCTAATTAAATTTCTCCTCAAAAAAATATACAAGTGACATTTTACTTGATTCATATTCTTCTTGGAATTCTAAAAGCTAGGTCTACCATTGAACATATATTAATTAGCATTCAATTTTTAAAAAAGAATATCTCTTAAATTATATAACAGATATCGATGCACTATCCTGCACAAGGCATTAGACATGAAACTCTTTAATAATATTTTATTAGATGTCATGAGAAAAGAGAGACCAGCTTTTCAAAGAGCATCATATGTAACATTCAAATGTGTGTGCATGGAAGCCAATAAAGGATGAAAGAAAAAAAAAAACATTTTTAATTATGTAAGTATATCTCCTTAAAAAGTACACAAGCAGCCTTGTCTTGCTCTAAATGAGGACTTATCATCCATGCGGTTACTAAAGGCTGGTGTAACCAACAGTTTTGATATAAAAGCAAGCTAATTTTTCATTGATTTTTTTTTCTGAAATCAAAGATACACTAAGGCTCTGTCTGGTTGGTGCTTTTGCTTTTTTCTATTTGTTTCTTGTTGTTAGTTATTTTTTATATTTGCTTTTCACTTTTTATTGAAAAAAGCAAAAAGCAAGCACCAGCTCAATCGAGCCTAAAGAAGCTAATCAAACAGCATATAAATTATCACCTTCTCCATCAACATGTATGCTTCCACCTTCAAGAATCATTGTATGTGGAAATCTAGGAAGCCTCTCAATTCCCAATATCTACAAAAAACAAAAGATTAAGAATAACTGTCTGAAATATTATGATGTACCAAACCTGGACAAGTAAATTTATAACAGAAAAGGTAGCGAGTTTTATTCTCTTTCTGACTCTAACCTTCCTTGCCACATGAAGGTCAAGACTCCAATCTTCATAACAACCATCATCAACCCCTAGAAAGCCATGAGGGAATTCCTTTCAGAAAAGATACACAGGAGATAAAACTATAAATTAACACATGATGACTACTAACACATTAAAACTGTCAAAGTCAATGCTAGACTCACACAATCAGTAAAATATGCAAAGTAAAAGTTTTGACCCAACAAATTAACAAGCTTCATCCTATCGATTTTCCACTGTTTTGGCTCCTAAATATACTGAGTTTAACCATCATTTCAGAAATTCCAGCCAACTAGTTCAGATGATATAAAAGGCAAAATAGGAGGTAAGAAATTAATTTTAACCCAAAAGTTTGAGCATGCAGTTTCACATAAAAAATCCAAAAGCTAATCATTCATCTTCCATATTTGACAAACACTTAAATATTGATATTAGATTATGTTAGTTCTAGTACAATGTGACACTAGCTAGTTGTTAAACTGTCATTTCAGTTTTGAATAGATTGATTGACAGAGATACACTAAGTTATAATCATTTCAACTTTCATTAAGTCTGAAGTCTATTCTTACCTCCCCAGCTATTGAAATTCCAATCAATCCCAGCAACCTTTTGCTCAGGATTATCAGAATTTGATTGTGCTTTAATTACAACAAACTGCAAGAGAGGAAAAAGTAAACAATAGTTATGTTAGATATTTTTGATAAGGAACAAGCAGTTTTTGGTTACAATAGGGAATCCAACTGAAGACTGTCCTTTGTGACAAAAGACCAAGAAAGATCATAACAAAGAATAGGAGAAGCTCACAGTTGGCCCAGTATCACGAAACCAAGAGTCATTCATGCTCATTTCAACAACCCTAATATTTGGTGGTAACTGACTTCGTGCATTGGCCCACTGTGTAAAATTAATTAATTCATTAAAATTCAGTTCAAAACAATATCTAAGACTTTTCTGTGAGACAGGTTTCATCTCAAGAACCGCTACCAACCTGAGCAACACTTGCACAGACAGTCACAGGCTCAAACATTGAGATTGCAGTTGCAACCTTAGCAAACACATGTTGGCCGTGTACTGCATTGCCTCGCCAATTATCGGGACGTTCCTGGAGCAAGACAATTTAAATTTGTCAAACTCACAAATGAAATCAACATCAAGCACCATCTAATGCCAAAATGGCACCCCTTCCCACTGTGTTACGAAACGATCCTCTAGTCTTCTAGCCATAAAGTGGATAATAATATCCTTAAAAAAAGATAATTAGCAGCGTAAAAATTGCAGGGAGTATAGGACATAAAAATTGCATATTGCAGCTAGAGAACAGAGGAGGTGAAGAGTATTTTAACAGCACAACAAAATGCTTGCCAAAAATGTGATGGCATTAAAATTTTAGATTTAATACAGAATTGAAGGTATACTGCCAATAATGGCTGCTCAGCGCTCAGTTACAGCAAAAAGATATCAAAAGCCTGAATTTTGCATTGGAGCATTAAATTAAAGTGTATCAAATTCCTAAGACTACAGTTAAACAACTCGAGGCTGTTGGATCTGCCAAATACGGATTTCTTTTGATATCTACAAAAAAAAAAAAATATGCAATCAAGGTAGTAAGCAGTGGAGGTTCATAAAGGGTGTGGCATCGAATGCATCAAACAGTTTGATGTATATGATTTTAAAAAAAAAAAAATCCAACAGCAGGCAAAACCCCAAAGAATTGCAATGAAATTCTTTTGATATCTACAAGAAAAATAAAAATACGCAATCAAGGTAGTAAGCAGTGGAGGTTCATAAAGGGTGTGGCATCGAATGCATCAAATAGTTTGATGTATATGATTTTAAAAAAAAAAAAAAATCCAACAGCAGGCAAAACCCCAAAGAATTGCAATGAAATTGGAAGAGAAAACTGTGTTAGCATAGGTAACTAAATGACAAGAAACTCATCAAACAAAAGGATATCCTTCAATTCTGACCCATCCCCATCAAAGAAGAAAGGGCAAGAAATATTCTAACAGACGAGCTAAACATTTATAACGTGAAAAACAAAAATAGGTTTGGTTGAATCAATAAGAAAACAAAGAAGAAATGATACTCACAGGCCAACCCATCCAGCACTGTGAATGGGGTTCCCACTCTGCAGGCATATGGTAGCCAAGTTGAGAAGGTGTCCCATTCATCTCCATCCCTAACAGTTGTCACTCAATCCGCCTATCCTTCTGAACTTGAGGTTAACAGTGAAAGAAGAAAATATTATATAATATATGGGGACTGAAAGTAACTGACAGCCGACGCAACCTACCTTTTATTTTCCAAGGTTTCAATTGTTTTAGCAGGAGAATATTTCATCCTTTTTTCTAATTAATACTATTGATTGGAAACTGCTACATATACGGTGTAGGGCGGCACACTGTCCTTTTATCATTCAGACAGGACAAGGCTCCACTCAATATTGGCCAACAAACAAAAGACTAGTCAATGGCGTTACTAGGCGTTTTCCACTCTGAATTATTTTATACTCAAGACGTTTCAATGAGCAGAAAAGAAGTCTTTCTTCTCATGAAAATTGGTTTTCATTATTTTATTCTTTTGTAAATGCTAGTACACTTCTTTGGCAAACAAATTATATTGTGATATATGCTAAACTACATTAAGCCTCGGCAAAGTTTAAGAGAGAAAGGGACAGACAGAATAAGGTAAGATGATAATTCTATGATTCTTGAAACTTAGTTTAAAAGTATTGGAAAACTTTTTAATTGTGATCTCAACTTCAGTTTAACTTCTGGGTACCTGTTTACAACGAAGAAACCTTTGTTGAAAAATCTTAAATGAAATATAAAACTTGAAAAAGCAAGAAGCTTTGAACCCTTGTTGCCAGTGTTTTTTAAATTCAGAATAAATTATAAACGTTGAAATTTAAATTTGTTTATTAAATATTATCTTTTTAAAATATATCTGTTTAAAATTAAAAGTGAGAGTGATTTGAATTTGATTTGATTTTTTATTGATAAAAGTAATGTTAATCTTATTGGAAATAAATATTTTTGGTTTTTGGTTGATAAAAGTAATGTTAATCTTATTCTTACCTGTATGTTATTGTTTTTTATTTGACTAAAAATTAAAAAATTAAAAAGCTCAACTTGTGTCCTAACACTAAAAATTGCAAACCTTTTCTTAACAAAAGAAAAATAAAATAAAATAAAGGGTAAAAAGTGTGGACCTCCTTTAAAGCCACCATGGGATTTACTTTCGGTGAATGAATGATGACAAGACTACAATGTGGTCCTAATTGTTCTTCCTAATCCAAATCTGTTTCATGTTTTTGTCTGAATTCCAGAAACTGGCTAAGCAAAGCATCCTTCCTTTTGTTTCTCGCCAATAACATCCCACCAACTTGCCTACTGTTAACTCTCTCTGTCCACAATAATCACAAGATTCTTCACGGTTCACAACCCCCTTGGCCTTTACATAAAAATCCCAGTAACAGCAGCCAGCCCATCTTGTTCTTCGTCTTAAGTTAAAGGACTCCAAAGTCCAAGAACTTATCAGACAAGAACTAAAGACAGAAAGGACATAACGAAGAATAAGGTATGAGAGTACTATGATTCTTGAAACTTGGTTTAAAGTTACCAGAAATCTTTGCTTCAATTTAACATCTGGGCGCTTGTTCTTTTTGAGTTTACCCATTCCGGGTATTTTCTGTTTTTGTTTATTTGGTTGTTTGTTGCTGAATTTGATGGATTTGGGTCTTTGGCATATCCTTATTGGCATGTAAGTCTAAGTTATTACGTTTGGTTGATTCTTCTTTTGGAGCAAGAAATTTGATTCAGGTTTTTTTGTTTTGTTAATTCACTCGAGCACCGAAAAGGAAATGAAAAGCATTTTTCTTTGATCATATTCTTAATCTTAGTTACTTGGAATAATTGATTGTATTTGTGGAATCAGTATCCTATGTAGTGCAGTTGAATGCAGAACTTTAATAAATTAATGATTAGTGCCAAAAAGTGTCCTAAAATGCCTCAAATTTTCCCTTAACTTTTGACGTTTGATAGATTTAAAGAATATACTGCTAAAGGGTACCATCCTTCAATTTGACTGCAGTCTTGAATCATATTTGCTCAGTTTTTAGGCTTTCTGATATATCGACATTTCTGGTAATGCAGAAATTTGCTTGAATTTGCAGTATTGTCTTTTGAATGCATTCTTTATATTGTTGTTCTTAGCTTCTTATAGAGGGGAAGGAAGAGCATAAAAGAAAGAGGAACTAGTGTTCATAAATTTGGCAAAGGGTGTAAATGTTTTTCTGGTCAGAGAAAAAAATATTTTATGCATTATGAATGTGGGGAACGTTGAAACATAAATGATGTTTCATATCAATTTGCTTATTTAAATTTTATCATTACATGTGCTGCTGATTTGCTGTATAATTTGGCATCTGGGTTCGTTGTTAAGATCCCTAATTTCACTATTACTTATCTGATATCTGGTTCATGTGTGTTTCAGTTTGTTGGTTGAGTAACCTGAATTTTTACTAGTCCTGCTAGATTTTTATTACTTCATAATTCCTAAAATTTGAACTTGTTTTTTTTTTTTTTAACAGTTTGTTTGTTGAACTTTCATTGACATGTTTACCTTATATTTTACTTTCATGATTATTAATTCAGTAAATTTATTAGTTATGGACTCCCCCCTTTGTATTAAAAATTACAGTCCTAAAAATTCCATTGTTTCATTGCCATGTCATCGCTCTTTCACTGGAAATGTATGTTTGACCTTTGCATCTTTCAGTGTGGCATAAAGGAGAAGTTTACTTTCATCTCTTAATGGCTCAAGATACTTCTGCCGCTGAATCACCTCGACGGCGTTCTGGTCTTCTGCGAGACCAGGTGCAGTTGGTTAAAAAAAAGGACTCTGATCGCTATGAGATTGTTCCAATTGAAGATTCTTTGTCCTTCGAGAAAGGTTTTTTCATCGTAATTCGTGCATGCCAATTGTTGGCCCAAAAGAATGATGGATTGATTTTAGTTGGAGTAGCAGGGCCATCTGGAGCTGGAAAGACTGTATTCACCGAGAAGGTTCTTAACTTTATGCCAAGCATAGCTGTCATAACAATGGACAACTACAATGATGCTAGTCGTATTATTGATGGCAACTTTGATGGTAAAATCTCAAATTCTTGACATTTTTCTTAATTTTTGGCAATTATGGTTTCTTAATTGATTCCTTTTGTTTGAATATTGAGGAAAATCATCTTTCTATCCATCTTAAAGTTATGGTGCTTTCTTTTTTATGTATGATAAAATGGATACTATCCGATTTTGCATGCATCACATTGGTTGTTGACAGTTTGTAGCAAGATATGCTTTTGGAAGCGTCTATAGCCAGAGCTGCTTTTGCCTGCTACAGCTGTTTCTTTTCTACATTGAAAAAAAAATTAGGATGGGCAATATAAAGGAGATAGTTAATTCTATTATATAAAATGGAATACCAAATATAGCATTTTAAGCAACATTTGAAACAGATAATGGAGCATGACTTATTTTTGACTGATAAGTATGAATGACAACTAAGTACGTGAACAAAATTGTCCATAATGATAATATACGCCTGATTCTAAAAGTAAAGTTTAGTATAAAGTCCAAATCAATTAGATTCAATCACATATACTCTATAAAACAATTGATTCTATGGTTGTGATAATAAAAGATCGGAGGAGGATGCATTGCTGAGCTCTAATTATTGTAGTGTTATGAAACAGACCCAAGGTTGACAGATTACGACACACTGCTTGAAAATATACACGGTTTAAAAGCAGGAAAACCTGTTCAAGTTCCAATATATGACTTCAAGTCTAGCTCTCGCACAGGATACAGGTTCTGTATCTCTCCTTTCTGTTTTGCTATTTTGTAAGACATAGAAACTCTTTTTGCAAGGGTTAATGATGTCTCTACTTCTTCTGCCTGCAATGAAGGAAAGAAAAGCGAAAAGGAAAGGAAGGTGTGGGCAGTTGTAAACAAATAGTGATTAGTGCATGTTCTTGATCTAGTTTTATTCATCATGATTACAGGACAGTTGAAGTTCCTAGCTCTCGCATTGTGATTATTGAAGGAATCTATGCCTTAAGTGAAAAATTGCGGCCTCTTCTTGATCTTCGTGTATCTGTCACTGGGGGGGTTCACTTTGACCTTGTCAAGCGAGTATTACGAGACATTCAACGTGCTGGCCAAGAGCCTGAAGAAATTATCCATCAAATTTCTGAAACGGTTTCTTTACCTAACCTATTTTACTTCGTAGGAGTCTGATTTAGCTGCTTCATGAAATCAGACTAGTTGTAGCCTTGAGTGCTTTAAAAATCTAATGCCTCGAAAGAGGGAGCACTTATATTATTTTAAATCCACTTCTTTTAACGCAGGTCTATCCTATGTATAAGGCTTTTATTGAGCCAGATCTCCGAACAGCACATATTAAAATCATCAACAAGTTTAATCCATTCACTGGGTTTCAGAATCCTACTTATATTTTAAAGGTCAAGCTCTAACTGTGTATTTAGATCTCAAAACAAAAGGTTCTATGATTTTGTAGGTTATATGTTCCTTACTATATAATATTTCATTCCCACAAGTCTACCACTGAGTGTTTTCTATCGTTGTAGTCTACAAGGTTGGTGACAGTGGATCAAATTAAGGAAGTTGTATCTTATGAACACAAAGAAACTATGGAGGAAACCTATGACATTTATCTTCTACCCCCTGGTGAAGATCCTGAAGCATGCCAATCATATCTGAGGATGAGGAACAGGGATGGAAAATACAATCTCATGTTTGAGGTTGAATGGTCACTTTTAAGTCTCTTCTTCAAATTATTTATGCATTGAAAGCATTTTCCTAATTATCCTTGATGAGAATATAGCGGCATTTACTGAGTTTATAAATTTTTCTTATTTGACGTCAGCAATGAGATGTGCCCATCTCAGTGCCTTTTAGAACTTCTGCCTGCAATGGGGTTTAGATGCTAGGTTTTACTTCAATATTTTTTTATTGAGCATCTCTCTCTCTCTCTCTCTCTCTCTCTCTCTCTCTCTCTCAAACATCATTACCGAATTAGAAAGAACCTTTGTTCAGATGTATACTTAGTTCATCACTGTCCTTTGTTTGAATAAAAAAATTCTATACATGCATGCAAAAAATTATATGCTATTTTTCATGAATTTGGGAGAGTGAATTTGGATTTGGTTTCTTTTATAAGTAGTGATGACAAATGCAAACATGTTGCAAAAATTATAGCTTCAAAATACTAATATATTTGAGAGAATATAAGAAGATTAATGTAAAATTCACTTTTATGCTTTCTTGAGTTCAATTTATGCTAAATTTGAAAATCCAAAATTGATTTCTTAAATTTAAGTTCTAAACATAGCTATAGTAAATTCAAGGTGATTGTGATAATTAATTCCATATTTGATGTTTTATTTGTCATAACTTAATATTTTAGGTTTCTGCTAATATTCTTTTAAGAGTAATTGGAATATGGTAACTTTTAGGCTTCTGATCAGTTTGGCTGGTTCTCAGGAATGGGTTACAGATAGTCCTTTCATAATATCACCTAGAATAACTTTTGAAGTTAGCGTGCGCCTTCTTGGAGGACTGATGGCTTTGGGGTATACAATCGCAACCATTCTGAAAAGAAGTAGCCATGTCTTTTTTGATGATAAGGTGTGTGTGAAGATTGATTGGTTGGAGCAACTTAATCGCAAATATGTTCAGGTACGATATCCTTCAACGCTCTTAATATGTTTTCATATATGTATACATGTATTGTATTTATCACTCTTAATTTCCTCTATCATAGCAAGTTTGACATGTTTTATTTTTCAGGATCATGTGATATTTTACATTTTTTTTCTCGAAGCACATATTTGGTCTTAATTGTGAAGACATTCTTTTTCTTAAGTAGTATTTAGAAGTCTTTGGTTATGATAACGGCATGATATTTTTTTATGGCAATACACAATTGCTTTTCTTCTTTTCGATAAATGAAGAAAACACTGCATTAAACGTAACCAACAGGGTGCCTACCCATGAACATACTAGTTCTTTGTAGATAACAAGTGAACAAATACGATAGCATCCTGTACATGCCAGAACTGATGCCTGTTGAAATAGAGTATTGAACCAAGTAGCTATAACTTTCATGGGGATAACTCTTATCCCTCAAAAGCCCTTGTATTAATTCAAACAATAGTGAGATGGATTAATTCTATGACTTTTATCCTATCTGTATGTAGTATGTACACCTCTGTTAGCCCACAACTGATCTGTAACAGAACCTGTTGCAACCCTAGAAATACTCAGCAGCAAATACATCAAGGTGGAAAGATGTCTCACCAAAGACTAAATCAATCAAAGATGATGAATTGACTGTGCTGCTGCCTTGCAATAGAAAGCATCTATTGGACGAATCCCCTCCCAACCAAGATAGTTTTTCTTATTATTTTCAAATTCTGAAAATATGCAAGGCAACTTCAAAATTGGCTATAGTGCAGTTTAAGTTGTTTTGGATGACTTATCAGGTACATGTTGCAAAGTTTAGAACTAACTTTAATGTTTATGCTGTTTCTATAAGGTGCAAGGTCGAGATCGTCTATTTGTTAAATATGTTGCTGAGCAACTGGGCTTGGAAGGTTCATATGTTCCCCGCACTTACATTGAACAAATCCAGCTGGAGAAGCTTGTAAATGATGTTATGGTACGATTCTTCCAAGCTGATGATCAAAATTTTGAGCTCTCCATTCTGACTCAAGAAATATGCAGGCACTGCCGGATGATTTGAAGACAAAGCTTAGCATTGAGGATGACGTAGTGTTGAGTCCTAAAGAAGCCCTCTCTCGAGCCTCTGCTGATCGGAGAATGAAGTATCTCAGCCGGTAATTTTTATTTCAAGCCCCAATTGTTTACCATCTATTCAAAAATTTAAAAGTTCTAGGTAAAAGAAGAAAACATGATCAATATAAAGTGTTAATATGTCTTGTTTCTCTTTAAGAAAGAACCTTTTCAAATCCTGATAACAATCACATATGGAATTTATCTATGTGGTGCACCAGTATCTCACAGTCATATACAAATCAGCGGGACAAGAATTTGCCAAAGCTGACAAGACTTGCTATTAATAGTAGAAGGTTTGATGGAAGGGCACCAGAAGCATCTTCCCCACTAGTGAATCCGGTGAGCATGTTGCCTTGAACTATTTTAATGAGTATGACATGGCTTCTTTATCCACTGTCAAAGTATCCTTTATCTTTCTGGTTGCTAAAAAATTGGAGGAAAAGAAAACAAAATCCTTGGCGATCTTTACAGTATTGTTTACTCAGAATGAAAATGGGAAGGAAATGATGCTGTATGGTTCTCTAATGCAACATCCCCTTTTCTTTTGTAAAAAAAGAAAAAAGGTTTAAGTTTAAATCTTCATAAAATTTATGAAATTACAGTAAAATTTAGGCTCCCAGCAATACCTATAAACTCAAGTGTCCCATATTTATTTATAATATAATGTGTTGTGAATATCATAAGTTAAAAGTACGCACAAATAAACAAATATAAGAAAAGAAGCATTTAAAATTTCAGTTTCTAATATCTCAAAAAAATTAGTTTCTAATATTTTGATGGGCAACTGTGCACTTAAACTTTTAAATAAGAGCACATAAATATAAGATCATATATGATTAATGTGTAAATTTTTTTTTTACAATAATTTTAAAAACCTCTAAATCAAATAAAAACCAAACAGATATTGGTCTGTGGTTAAATAATCTTTAATTACCTTTTGTTTGGATTGCGTAAAAACATTTCAGTTTAGGTTCCCTCTTAAAGATGAGTAGAAGCAAAATGGTGTATGGCATTGGTAAAAAGGGTATTATTAGCTATTAATACCTCCATACCCTGGTTGCCACCAATCTCTTTAATTACACGCATGAAAATTTTGTATTAAGAAATTTCTATGTATTTGTAGGTTTCTTTTCCTTTAAACAGCTCATGTTTCACCCCTTCATAGTTTTATTCTTTCACCTCAATGGTGGCATCTAAATGTAGTGTTAATTACCAATCATTCATTTGTCTTTGTATTATAGGGAGTTGTTACACAGCTCTCAGAGCAAATTTCCACTCTGAATGAAAGGATGGATGAGTTCACATCTCGTATTGAAGAGCTGAATTCCAAGTTCACTACCAGGAAAGTTTCAGCTAGCCAACAAAACTTAGCTGTGCAGGCTGAAGCCTGCAATGGTTCTGTACCTACTTCTCTTTTTGTGACTGGCTTGGGTAATGGTTCATTAACTGGATCACTAATGCCCCATTCTTCATCTTCTTCCCAGTTGTCTAGGGAGTCCCCGCTCATGGAAGAGGTACGATGATAAACTTCTTGCCTCTCTCTCCCCCACCATCTTTTTTCTTGAAAATTCATCCTTTCTAGCAGAACTGGATAGACCAAGTTTCTGTTTCCAATTCTTACTTTTTACGGTTGCATCAAAGATAATGTTTGTATTAACTTTTTCGTTATGTATGCAGCATTTGATTGTTTTATAACGCTTGGTTTGGCAGTTAAACTGTGCTTCAATTTACTTGTCTTTCACTCATGCAGGTTGCACGATCACAACGCCAGATTATGCATCAATTAGACAATCTGAGCAATCTGCTGCATGAATACCGGGGAGAAAGATCTCGCCAAGAAAGAATAGATAGAACAAACAGAATGGTTGATGTTGAAAGCATCAGTGTTCCTTTGATTCTTACCCTAGCAATTGGTGGTTTAGGTGTAATTTTGTTCAGGAGTCTGGCATCTCAAAAGTAATTAGTAATTACCACACTAAACGGCAATTTTCAGAATTACAAAGAACGTTTATTACCCTTGTGCTTCAAGGGACTCTGGAGGGTACTAGTTATTGTAACTAGGAATGGCGAAATTGTAAATAAGGAAAGAAAAAGAATGAAATTCTGAATTTAGTGCTATAACCAACATGTCTCATGTGATGTGGGTTTTTTTTTTTTTAATATAGAAATTGTCATAATAAAAAAAATCTCTAGAACCTCTAATTGTGTAAATTTGTCATAACTAGTCATATCATGACATTCAATCGATCTGAATATTAAATTTGAACATTTATAATTTTTTTCCCTATTTTCAATCAACAATATCTTATGTACCCAAAAAAAAAAAAAAAACAGAATTTATACTTTGCCTCATGCGCCATTGACTCAACCGTACAAAACTAAGAGGGATAAAATAAGTAAAACAGAAGGTTTTGATCCAGAGCCTCCCTAGTGAGAGCAGATAGCCCGTGACAAAGTAGTTAATGGCGGCATAATACAGTAAGTATCATCTTAAGTAAATAACATTCCCCGAGAAAATTGAAAATTTCAACATCAAATCTTATGTAACAAGCGCAACAAAAGTTTTTTTTGTTAATTAAAAAAGGGAGGATGTAAGCCCGGATACATCTGCTACTATCAGGCTATAGTCGGCCTTTATTTTTTCTTGTTCCTCAGGGCCTAGTTCCCCTTTGGTGGGCTTGGTTAGCACCAGAACACAGCATGTCGGTCTCTTGGTAGCTCCTGCAGTCGCAAGATCCTGAAATGGCAGAAGAAACAAATCAGACAAGGTGCATAAGAGAGAGATGATAGCTAGTTAGTTCATTTACTTGCATAAGCTACCAACCTAAACACGAAGACTAATCTCAAAAAGCCTTGTGCTATATTCTTTAAGAGTCTAATTGCAGGATGTACAGATCTAAATGGGCGTATATGCAGGACTAGAATCGGGGGTCCTTGATCAAGCATATAGAAATTTAGGTTCACAATGAGATATATGCAAATCATACACAGCATTCCGAACCCAATTTGAAATGCTATATAAGTTCCAAATATCATGAAAGAAATTTCAAAGATAGAAACAATTCAAGGAAGAAAATGAAACAAAAAATTTGCTTAGACTTTGCCGTGTTTTTTACAAAGGTGACAATGACAGAAAATATGGAAGTCAGAAAATCCGTAGGTAAGAAATTATGTTCTAAGGTTTCTGATAGTCAAGGAGGACAACCACTTTAAGCATGCACTGCCACCAAATTAAACAGAAAGAGAAAGGAGGTCCAAGCTTACTTCTTTCGAGGGAACATAAACATAGGGGATGTCAGCCTCTTCACATAGGATTGGAACATGAGTTATGACATCAATAGGAGATATGTTTCCAGCTATAACACATAATCTGCATCAGCAACAAGATTGAAGAAGCATTATTAAGCATTTCCATGGCTAACATTTGAATTTAAAACTACCTTTTATAAGTTTGAAATTTTGATTGAATCAAGAAAGAACGGCCCATCAGCAATATCCTAAAGGAAACAAATAAGCCTCGAGATAAGAAATGATTACTCATTTATTATTATTATTTTTACAAAAGTTCTTCAATAATTCATCAATTGGCAGCATGGACTGCAGCTAAAACAAGTGGCATCCATGTGTATTAGATAAGTATTGCGCTTTCCTACTCAACTATGCTGTCCAAATTCTCAAAAACGAAGGATAATCTTCAGATGATCATAAACATTTTTCTTTTTCTTAATGTCAGCCATGAAGTACAGTTGTTAGAGACACAAACTTCAGGTAATCCTATAAAGTATTCATGGGCATCATTTACAGGCGTGGTCAGATAATAACAAGGTTCTACTATACTTAACCCATGGAATGATTATTTTAAATCAAGTTTTTCAAACACGCTTGGAGCAATTAAGTGGTGGAAGTATTAAGCTAAGTCAAATTTATAATATTTTACTCCTTTGCCCCCTTTCTTCATATCCTAAGTGATCACTCTACTTCTTTCAACGTAGCATAAAAGCCAAAATCAGCACCCTCTTCTCGACTGAAAATCAGCAAACTACAAAGTTATCAACATTGTAATAATATCATTAAAACAGATAATGAACTCTTGATACTCAGCCATATGTCATAAGCCGTAACATCCTCCCCTCAAAACTTACATTCACATCCTAACAAAAAATAAATAATTTTAACCATTTACTAATATAACAATTAACTAACAGAGTCATACACTTCCATTGCCCCCACAAAATTACCAATATCCCTCAGTCCATGGAAGTTAATTTTTATAACTATGCAGATAAAAATAAATATGGATACACATAGAATCTGAAAGAAAGAAATAGAAAAAAAAATACCCTTTATGACCCCGCCGAATACTTTTAACTACTTCCTTTACTCCTCTCTTCAAACACTTGTGCTCAGCAGCTACAACAACGGAAAAAACACGTTCTTGAAAAAAATAGGGAAACCAAAAAAAAAAGAAAAAGAAATCTATTTAAAACTCAAACAATCAACAATTTCACAAAAAATCCATCATATCAATCACAAAAATTCCATTATTACAGCATTGGGTCTTTGTCGTGTTTCTTGCCTTTTTTCACCATTTAAAAAAAAAAAGAAGCAAACCCATGAACTTGAAGTTCCAAAATTTTTCTTTGATGGACAATTTCTGATTAAAAATAGAAAAGCCCAAATGGGATTTTCGTACAAAGAGCTCAATGTATATAAATGGGACACCTTTGCGGACGAGCTTGAGGGTTTTCTTAGAAAGCTTTTTGCCAGCGAGGGGCTTTGCGATGGGAGCAATAGCTAACATCTTCTTCCTCTCCTTCTCCTTCTGCTGCGTCTTGTCTGCTTCGCTATCGCTTCCCATTTCTCTCTCTTTCTCTTCCTTTTTTCCTCTGACACTGAAAAACAAAGCACTTTAAGTCCACTAGAATGTGACAGAAAGTTAAGGGCGTAAATTAGGGTTATTGTATCTTTAGCATTTTCAGGGTTTAAGCTTTATTTATACCTTAATGGTCTTTTCAGTCAGTCCCATTGCATTTTCAGGGTTTGGGCCTTTGTATCTGGACAAGCTCATATATCTCTTATGAAAATGGGCTTATATATATATATATATATATTTTTTTTTTAAACATAAAAATCTTTTACATGAAATTCCATGCGGCCATGCTAACTTTTCATGAAAAATAAACTATTGAAAATTGAGAAATTAAATGTATAGTTTGATTTGTATAAATTAGTAATTAATCAAATAATTTAAAGTTTTATTTATATAAGTTAGGCAATTGTACCAACCAATTAATGATAATCAATTTATCACTTACTATAATTTACGAATTTTGCATTAATATCATAAATAATTCTTAAATTACAATAAAATATATAATATGATATTTTAATTTTAAAAATTTTTAATATGATATTTAAATTATAAATAAATTAATTAATATAATATTTACCTCTAACGTGACTAATTTTAAAGGATAATACGTGATAAATAAATAATTTTTTAAATATCATATTAATTAATAAATTCATAATCCAAGTATTACATTAAAAATTTTTAAATTTTAAATATCATATTAAATATTTCATTATAATTTAGAAGTTATTTATGATATTAATTCATAAATTTTCAATGTGTTATTATGTTAAAATTTTCATTTATTTTAAAAAAAATGGAGGATTTTCTTTTTGTGTTGGAGATAAATGATCTTACAAAAACAATAAAGTAAAATTTTATCCATGTAGGTTAGATTAGTTGGTAAAGAAAAAAAATTATCAATTGGGTTCAATTCTTGTAAGAAATTATCCAATAATAAAATAAAATCTTGAATGATCATGTTCTAGAGTGAATGTTTCGGATCATAAAAAAAGAATTTAACCTAAGCAAAACCAAAAAACAACTTACAAAAAAAAAATACTAATAAAATTTTGTGGAAAGGGGAAAATTAG